AGCAGGTCATAGCTAAATATTATCGGTTGTTGTTTTCGTGAGAACGTAATAGCGGAGCATTTGGCTGGGTTCACTACCATTCTGTTCAAACTGCACCAACTAGCGAATACATTCAGCTGACGTTGAAGAAAGTGACAGTCAGCAATGGAGCGGATTCGTAGAAAGATTTTGAGGTCATCTGCATATGATAACCGAGGAGTTAAGATGACCAGATGCACGTCGTTGAAGTACAGTATAAAAATTAACGGTCCCATGTGGCTTCCCTGAGGTATACCTGATGTGGCGAAAAAGCTAGCTGATCTGCAATCTCCCATGGCAACCTTTAGTTGCCGACCGATATGATCGAAACCAACTCAGAAGATTACCGCATACACCAAACCTGCCGAGTTTAGCAACCGCAATAGCATGGTTCAACTTGTCGAATGCTTTGGATAGGTCTGAATAAATAACGTCCGTTTGAATCCGATCCGACATGCTTTCGGTTACATACGATGTGAGACACAGCTGATTGGTGGTTGTTGAGCGGCCGACTGTTGATCAGCACTCAAATACTGCTTGCAATGGGACAGCAACGGTTCCATAATCACTAGCTCGAATAGCTTCGAAACGGCACTTAACGATGTAATTCCTCGATAGTTATCCACAAGCCCGTTTCTTTCCCTTTTTGTGAACGGGAAACAGAAACTGGAGAGAGACATGTGGAACAGGCGTTGAAGCGGAATCAACAAACTAGCAATATGTCTCTTCAAAAATACAGATGGAACTCCATCAGGTCCAGGATTGAAGGATGACTTGAGCAGAAATCATATCAGCATTAACATCAATTGCACCCAGCGTTTGATCATTTACTGGAACGTTCCTGGCAGCCAGGTTAATATTGTCGTCAGTTAGTATCTCATTAGTGAATACACTGGCAAACTTTTCGGAAAAAAAGGTGTCATATGTCCTGAACAGTGGCAGCAACTTCTCCGTTGAATTCCATAGACGATGGGAGGCCGGATTCCCTGCGTTGCTCGTTCACGTAGTTCCAAAAGGATTTCGGGTGTAGCTTAAGTATGCGCTGGATGCCTCGTTGGAAACTTGAAAAGCATTCACGACTGACTCGCTGGAACATGTGATTCAGCCTCACATAATGCAGTTTCAGAGGAAGCGTGCGATACTTCGTAAATTTCTCAATGCTGCTCTCTTGACTGACTTCTTCAACTTACGTAGCTCTCTCGTCTGCCAGGAAGGGTGAGACACTTTGTGGTGAGTTCTTTTCGGGACGTATCTGACAATGACATATGCCAAGACATGTGAAAAGGTTTGCGCTGCAGCCTCAACGTCATCTGGATCAAGGATGTTCTCCCATACCATGCTAGACAATACATCTATGATGCTACGGTGGTCAGCTTTACGGAAGTCATAAGAAACCGTAGCAGGATAATCGTCTAAATCACGCACAAGTTTGTCCTCAACAGTTAGAGGAGGGTGATGTTGAACTAGCTTAGTTAGTGCACAAGGAGCCGAGGAAATTAATGGAGCCCTGTCCTGTGTGCTCACGAAGCAGAGGTCCAAACTACGATCATGTTCGTTAACTACATGGTTAATTTGAGAAAGCATCGCTGCGCTGTAGTTGTCGAGAAGGCTAATAGCTCCTGCGTGAAATGTAGAGCTATCAGGATCTGGGTACAGGAATCCGCTATGAGATGGACTCCACGAAACGCCTGGCAGATTGAAGTCACCAAACGTAGACGTATCGATGAGTTCATTGTCCCGGACTCGATCAGGTGGAATGTACAGAGCACATAAAAATAGTGTGCGATCACCCAGATTGATAGCTGTTCAAATCTGCTCCACATAGTTCCATGAATCGTTCTCGATGGCCTTTGCCTCCAACCCGCCACGGACAGCTACAAGGACACCTCCACCAGTAGATTTACGGCTGTTGATAGGATTCCGATCGCAACGAAAAACCGCGTATTCAGGACCGAAGACTTGACTGGAAAGCGTTCGATAATCGAGCCACGTTTCGCAGGCGGTACTCTTCAACCTCAGAATTCATTCCACCGGCGTTTTGGTAGAAGAGTGGGTTGCAAGACCCCCTCTCCACATCCGACAGCAGGTCCGGAACGACTAAGATGAACGAAGGCTGCTGATGGCAGGACTGAGACGGAGGGATTGGGGGCTTCCATGGGACTTTCTACGGCGCGTTCCGGGTTCCCAGGATTGGGAGTTACAGAGGCATCATCACAATGACTAACATAGTCCGTATTGCTGAAAATTTGATCGGCATCAGGCAGTGAATAGTCAATATATTGATTGTACTTGCCTGTAGAGGCAAGGTGGAAGACTCCTGATTCATATCCAGCCACAGGTCCAGGACGACTATGCTGAACGCTGGCAGGAAACGGCATGACTGGGCTGGAGGAACCAGGAGCTTCCAAAGAACGGTCTATTGTGCGTCCCGGAGATGAACTAGGATTGTTCGAACAGTAAAGTGGATGTTGTGAATGAGCAGTATCAGAAGTGCTTCTCAACTGAAAATAGCCGGCAGATGCTTGAGGCGTTGCACTGGAACACGGAAGCTGATCAGGAAAATTACTGTAACTAGTGTATGCATACTTGCCTGAAAACGATGGTTGGGAGACCCCACCACCGAACTCAACCGCAGGTGCAGAACAACGCTGATGGCAGGAAATAGAACGACTTTGATGGCGGGAAACAGCTAGCGTGACTGGATCGAATGGTTCGAGGTCTCCCATAATGCGACAGGCAGTGCGTTCTGCTTTACAGCGCTCCAATTCACAACGCGGCATCCCATTTTGAATCAGCATACTCTAGTCTAGTCCGGAGATGGGAGTTGAGAACTCGGAAGGTCCCGGAACATGAGAGATCGTGATGACTGGTGTGTTCAAACGAGGCATCCACATGTGTTTTGAACCGTCTTCAATTTCACGGAACAAAATTCCTTTCGGCCATACATCCAATGTAAGAGCAACTTCACGTAGTTTAGGAGTCAATCCGACTTTGTACGATATGTAACTCATAAGGCTGTTGTCGGATCCTTTTTAACTAGCGGCACAACCTTAATCGGATCATCGCACTGTACACAACCTTTGACCAGCTTCTCGATTGATTCCGATTTCACGCTAGGATGTATACGAGAAAGGTACAGCCAAAACAGCTCGGTGGGTTCAGGGATAGATGCCGAAAATCGATGTCCCACTTTTTCTGATACCGGATACCGCCATCTTGGATTTCAAGATGGCGCTAGGCATCGATTTTTGGCCTCTAGACGTCTTCCCGATTCCGGAAATATGCATATTGAAGGAGCTTTGGCAGTGTTTCACACTTTTTCTGAAACCGGAAGCTGCCATCTTGAAATTCCGATTCCGGAAATACCAATATTGAAGGGAATTAACATTATTTCCAGCCTTTTTTGAAATCTGACGTCCGTATGAATGGTTTCTTGCCGTGATGCTCCTTTTTAAATGACATTTTCAATTTGGTTGGTTGATGAAAGAAGAGACAGAACCCATACATTCGGACATGAACGAAGAAGTTTGCTTTAGGGTATAAAGTTGTATCGAGCTCAGAGCCGAGAGTGTGACCTATAGTACTTTGTCACAGGGAACAGTATGAGTGACATAGAACTAGAATAGATAGTCGTGACTGGAGGGATTCTTGATTTTGTCGTGGTTGATCTTGACGTGCGACAAGAAATTGTTGTTTGACAAGAATTTTCCAGGATGATCATTTTTAATGTATCAAGTCGTGCGTCAATGACAAACGCGACAATTCACATGTCTGCTTGTGTGCAATTCGTATGGAACTTTCCACTAGCGTTCTACCGAAGACAACAAATCAAGAAGACTGGCAACTCTTCCATTTTCTCATACAAACGCTATGAGACAGGTACAATCGCGTCATCTGCCGCTCAAAGGTAAATGCTTCGAACGAACTTGATAGCAAAGATTACAACCTCAGAAGAAGGGTTGTGTGTTTGCTCATTTTTCTATGCGTTGCTTCTACCTTCACTCAAGTGCAGCGCTACTATATCTGTCGCTTGGATTCTGGCAAAGTTGCCAGTCTTCTTGATTTGTTGTCTTCGGTTCTACCCAAAAGTAAGTTAGTTGTACCCAATATGTATTAGGTAAATATGATTATACTTAACGTTGGGTTCCCACACGTTACTATCCTTGTTGGGTGGTTTTGCTCCTCCGTTTTTGACAACATTAGACGGAGAAAAGGAGACAAACTATCAAAAGTAGGTAAAAATGAACTGGCCGTTGGGTACTTTTTTCTTACCGTGTACATGTCGCACCGCGTTGCGTAAAATAGATAAACTTTTCTAGATTGCATTCCCGCATAAACGCGAACCATAAATTGACCTTACCTAAAATGGTTAAAAATTGTTTATAATCCCTGCTAAACTTTAACTGAAATGGTTATGGAACTTCACATGAACGTTTAATGATAAAGTTTCAACCTTATGATTATGGTTTTTTGGAACTGGACCTTACAAATAATGGGTTGTTAAGAACCATTACCGTTCCAAATTCTTGTTTTCTCCATACATTTTCGGAAAGAGAACTATATTAGAACCTTTTAACTTATGGTTTGAGAACTTTAATGGTAATGGTTATGGTAGTCAGTAAGGTCCACGAATGGTTTTGTAACATCGATCAACTTTATGTGGAATATATCGCGAATTGGTTGCCTGTAATTTACTGATTACCAATTCACGATATATTCCAGTTACAGTTTAGGAGGGATTATAAATAATTTATAACCATTATCGGTAAGATCAAGTGATGGTTCGCGTTTATGCGGGTTAGTATCATGATTCACGCAAATTGTACTCGTCAATTCGAAAAACAACTTAATAAATTGTTTAATTGATCATTACGGGAAAATAAGAATGGTTTTTAGGGCATTACATTTGTTGCAAATCGATTTTAGTTTTTGAAAACTAATTTGTTAATAAAGAGTTCAATTTCCAATTCATTTTTGCACAGTCTACGTAGAGTACCCGGACATCACGGCGGAGGATTTCCTGCACGTTCAAACTGATGTCGAATATAGGAAAAAATGGGACAACACCGCCGTCAGCCTGGAGGTCGTCGACGAAGACGCTGCCAAGGGATCCAACAGCAGTATCATCTACTGGGAAATGCTATGGCCGGTAAGTTTACCTCTTTTTTTTGTCTTCCAAACGACCTTCCCAACTCTTGACAATATTGTTCTACTTGCAGAAACTATTCGCCAACCGGGACTACGTCTACAACCGGCGCTACTTTGTGGACCGCTCCAAGAAGGTGATCGTCATTGTCAACAAAAGCGTCCAGCATCCCAAGTGTCCGGTCAAACCGAGCAACCAAAGAGTCAACGAGTACTGGAGTTTTATGGTCATCAAACCGACCACCGGCATGTTCAGCAAACCGGGAGTGTCGTTCATTCTGACCTATTTCGATAATCCGGGCCTATCGATTCCCAAGTACATCACCAATTGGGTGGCGAAAAAGCAGATGCCGGACTTTTTGGGTCAGCTGCACCAGGCGACGCTGAACTACGCCTCGGCTAAGAAGCAGAATGAATCGAGGATTGTATGTTTAGAGAATTTCGAGGCGTAGGTTCCTGAATTAATGAGATTTATCTTCCCTTGTTATCAGGTGGAATTCTGGGATAAACACCGGGATCCGGGTTTCGAGTACCCACCGGATTCGCTACCCGGCTTCAGCAACGAGGATTACCTGCAGGCAAGAAGCGAAAGCGAAGGCGGTACCACTCTCCAAGAAGGTAAGTCCCGTTTGTCCCTCTCTTTGTTCCATATGAATGGGCTTCCTAATTAGCGGCTCATCCTTTAGACGCTACTACATGGTGTAAATTCATTACTACATTGTGGTTTTTATGTTCTCGTTTGTTTTTTTCCCTGTCCATACCCTCATGCTTGCTCACCACAAATGGATCTCATCCTCTCCTACTTTGTTGTTCGTGTTTGCTACACGGACTAACGAATTGTGAAATAATCGGGTTGCCTTCCTTTACATGTGTTACTGATCGTAGAAGTTGAAAAGAAGCTGAAATTTTGGCGTTACGTTTTCTTTAGAATCAAATGATGCTTTAAGCAAATGCGTGTTGATTAGTTTGTGATAATTAAGTACACACGCCAGTAAGCTAAAAGGTGACTATATTTAAATTTACATCACGTTCCTATTTGGATTGAAGTTCATACTATATTAGCTAGTAGCTACTATGTATTGCTCGTAATCACGTTACATTGATTCATATGTGTTTCTGTATAACAAAATAATCGACATTAGTTTGATTTCAACCTAACAGCCGCCATCTATGTCTCCCAAATGTAAAAACGGATTTCACCATCTGTCGCGAATGTTTACACTCATGACGCATAGATGGCAGCAATTATTTTAAGGTTAATTTTCAAACTGTAACCGACTTCCCCATCAGAATAATTGTCTAACCCGCACTCCGTTCGTGAGTTCCTAGCATGTCACACGTTCAATAACTACCAACATTTTGCTCTCTTATGTATGGAAAATGTACCCACAAATCTCTCCCTACAAACTATCAAGCCAATCCGAAAACCCAGTCGCCAGTAAACGAATCATATTCGCTGATACGCCAACCGGCGAAGGCGGAATCCAACAAAGAGCTCAACACAAGTGTAACAACCACAACCGCATCATCACAAACTCTACCACCACCACCACCAGCAGCAACAGCACCAACAACAACATCAACAGCGCAGGACGACTGTGGATCGGCGCAGAAATCTTCCTGGTGGAGTTATCTCTATTCGTATTTATATTTCATATGAGGAACTGCACTGAACTGACTCAAGATAGGCTGCAGTCGATTAATGGATAAAGTCATAATTTCGTTCAAGGCCTAGGCGCCATCAGTTCCTACTACAATGACTACAATAACTTTTTTCGTTCGCAAATTTCCCAAGGATCGCACTCGACAAAGGTACCTTTTAGTTTAACAAATCATTACCATCTTTGGGTTGTTCGGATGCAAACAAAATTAACCACCTAAATGAGAAATAGCCTAACCCTAACAATAGCAATTGCGGAAGCAAGTCAAAGTTTTGCGCGAGAAAAAAACGTAATTATGCAGCAGCTTAGCGATTAGATCGTGTTCTACCAAATATTGTGATTAGTTACAGTAGGAAAACTACCCCAGATTGCGGAACGGAGTTTAACAACCTATACCTAGGAGAAAAACAAAACAATGCAATATTACTCGTTTATAAGAAATTGTGAGTCGAAAGTTTTCTATTTTTATTTATATGTCATTTTTTCTGTATATATATAAACTTATCTTTGCATTGTTTCAAAAACTTGATCACAAATAAAACCTACATTGAACCAGAGTTAAACGACATGCTAGGATTTGTCGAAAAATAGTTAGTTATCGGTTTTTGAAAATGCTACAATACATCAATCTACTACTACTACTACAACTAGAATACTGCAGTTGACGAAAAAGGTGCCTTGTGAATGTTGTAAAGCTATCCGAAACTACTTGTTGAATTCCTTTGTCCACTTTTAATCAATAGCGTCTTTGTATTATGAACTTTTCAAAAATCTTGAGCATTGGGAATCTTCAGCTGGAACAACCAGAATCTACTTTAAAATATTCGCGCATTTAATTGCCTGAATAGCTGAAAAAGTGTGCCCAGATTAGACCTGTGCGCCGCCGTGCCACGCCGCCGCCGCCGAAGTAAAATCTTCTACGCCGCCGAATAAATTTATGTCACGCCGATGAAAAATTCGTAGCACCTTTTAGGTAAAATGCATCTTGAACGCGTTTAAATTAGCGTGTAGTGCAGCGTTTATCTTTAAGTTTTTTGACGTTTGTTCGCACTTTCTCGATCTAGCACACAATAATGAATCATTCAGGTCGGATTTACATAAAGATGAATAAGTGAATAAAGGGTGTCCCAGAATGTCTAAGCACGACTTTCGAACACCCCTGTTTGTTTCAGATGCCGTTTAAACAGCTGATTATCACGCTGAATCATTGTTTACATTTCGACCAACAGTTTCGTGTATCGTAAGTTGCAGTTCTTTACATTTCCGTTACAATGCGAAGCATTTCTCTGCAAAAGCGCAAACAGATCGTGCACAAATGGTGCACTATACCCATTTTCTTTTAAATATCATTATTAAGGAGACTTTCAGCCCAATCTCTAACATTTCTCTGAGTAAATTAGTGAAATTGGAAGGTGTAAGCATCGGAACCGTTCGAAACGCGATTCGGAAGTATGGTCATAGAAGTAACTCTAAGACCACTGGGTCCCGAAGAAAATCATTATTATTTTTGGCTCACTCAGTACCAGAACAACGGTCCCAAGCAGTCCCAAGCTATTTCACTCACCCCTGCATGTTCTGCATGAATCCACACACCCCTGATGTTATCTGTCAAACTTTCATAGCGAATCAAAACAAACATAGTGTAGTAATAGAATTTCAACTAGAATAGGGTACGTTAATCGTTTGCTTGGGACCAATAGGCTACTAAAGTGGTGAGCCAATTTAAAATCGTTAGTTTCGTATTGATTGTTGGTATGGTGATGAAGCAACTTTCCTGAACAAGCAAAAACCTGGAGGTAAACCGAACCCTGCTGACCAAAATCTGAACCGGAAAATCGTGCAAGCTTTCACTCGCAAGAAAAGGGCTTCGGTTCGAGACGTGGCTAGAAAATTGGGATCCTTGAAAAGTAATGTCCAGAGGGCCAAGGCAAGAATGGGTCTAAAGACGTTTAAGAAGCAGAAGAAGCCAAAGCGAAGGTAAAAACAAGCCACATCCGTCAAACCGAGGGCTCGGAAGCATTGTGGCCAGATTGTTTTTGTCATTATCGGTAGCTTCTCAAAACTTTTATCGGTAGTTATCGGTAGGCCGTCTGAAGAAGGCTTTCCCGATACTTGAAACCTTTGTTAGCGGAAGGGGTGGGGGGGGGGGGGGGGGTGTAACTGTCTTTCAGTTCTTCTGCTTTAAACGTGTCGAAATCAATATGAATATTTTTCAAGATTACTAAAAATCTGTGAATCGGTAGTTTTATCGAAAATCGATAGGACTACCGATAAATTGGTAGGTCCGGCCACCTTGCTCGGAAGTTATAGAGCTTTTTGACGTTTAATCGGCGCACACTACTACACCATTTAAATCGAACGAGTACGAGCAAGAGGGAAACAGATTAGTGGTAAAACAAACCGTTCATTCATCCATGTATGCTAGATAGAGAAAGACTATTAAACGTCAAAAAGGTTTATACGACCAGTTGCTGTGCGGAAAATCGGTGTTCGAGATTATGGACGTTGAATCATACGTTAAATTTGATTACAAAACTCTTCCTAGTGATCAGTACTACACCGTTCGTGATGACCGAAGTGTTGACGACGCGGATAAGTCGTTTTTTTTCCGAAAAAACGGAAAAAATGCTATGGGCAAGCCATTTGTGAGTGTGGTATGCTTTCCAAACCGTTTGTGACAATGGAGACAATGACAACCGATGTTTAAGTGCGTGAGTGTTCAAACAAGCGTCTGTTACCCATGATCCGCAAACACGACGCCTCAGTACTGTTTTGGCAGGATTTGGCGTCGGTTCATTACTCCAAGGACACGATAGCATGGTATAAAGCCAACAAAGTCCAATTCGTACCCAAGGAGATGAATCCACCAAACTGTCCCCAGGCCAGGCCAAACGAAACTTTTTGGGTCCTGACCAAAGCATATTTGCGGACACATGACACATGAATTGTTGGACTGAAGCTACGTTTAACTGTAAGAGTATACTATAGAGAACATGAAAACGAAATAAGAATCGTATTTGCTGTAAACAAGGTTTCGTTATTGTTTTTTTTTTCAAATCGTGCTTAGGCATTCTGCAACACCCTATGTTACTAACAACACGTTGATATTTGAACTTTTTTTTAATCTCTTTCAGGTCCAAGTTGTGCTTCAAATACATAAAGCAAAAGTTGTATGACTACAATGCGTGTACATTCAAATATGTATCAGAGTAGTACAAGCATATCATTTATCGCTATTAACATATTTAAAAACGTGTAATGCTCAATAAATGAAAGAATTGCTAGGGCCCATTAAAATGTTACGTAATGCAACAGATTGCTTTTAAATACTATCCACCCCTACATAGCGTACTTTTCTTATACTTATTAGAAGGGTTGTAACACTTTGCAATACGACTTCACCAACCAGCACTTGAAATACTTTCCTAAACAAATTCCGCATGTACGGCCAATGATAACGACTCAAAATTGAGTAAGAGTTATTCATATTTGAGTTCAGTTATTTATTTATTTTTTGATGGGGAGTGAAGTAAAACCCACTTAGTGCATTATTTGAACTTTTGTGGTATCATGCAAATCGACCACTATTTAACGAGTAGACAGCTAATTGCCTGGTGGGGGAGAGGTAGCTCATCGATTCTTCCGGTTCGCCTCCTAGCATCGTGCTATAAGGTACCAGGCGATAACCAGGGTAGTTGATCGATAGCTCGATGACGTCATTTCGTTGGCGTCTGCAATGGGATAGCGATGGGACGTTGTCGAGTTGTTGAATAGCAACTATCGTGGTAACTCACCGATTACCTGTCGATCTGCCAAATTTGGAAAGACGTCTGCATTGAATTGTCTCATATAATAATATTCCGCCCACTATATCACAAGAAATTGCGAGTAGCTGAGTGGAATGGAGATAAGTTAAGCATTGGGTACAGGACCAAGTCTCCCCTGGGTGGTGCCAAAAGATGAGCGCAATAGAATCATCAAGTTGCCATAAGGCACGGATGAGACTATTGCATGGCTGGGTAGTCAAAGTCTTCCATTCGTTAGTCATTTCAGGTGGATTAGAACAGGTTTAGGTGGGCGTTGGCCAGATTTGGATTTTTCAGATGTAATCCTGGATAGGACCCTGTCATTGAACGTCGCGTGAAAGTGGAACTTAATGAAGGCCTAAGTACTTTTTAGTAGTTTTTAGTTTTCGGATTTGAAAGATCGTCGGTTACAGTGGCCTGCTTACTGAGCAGAAAAACGCGGTCCCAGGTCCTTACATATCAAAGAGATTTATGGTAAAATCGCTTGTGTATCGTGTATTTTGCGAAACTAGTTGTTGTCGTTGGTTCCGGGTTTGAATGGATACAAAAATTTGAGCAACGGTATTATGTGATATGAGGGGCTCGGTGGCCTTAGAGCAACTGTTTTTGCTTACTGAGCAGAACATCATGAGTCTAATCTCAGGCCCATCCACATTCAAGATTCGTCAATCGTTTTATTTGTTAATATGACTACATGGTAATAACAGCAACTCGGTGATTAAAAAGGTGCTCGTCTGCCTAGTGGCAAACGTTTTTGCTTATTGAGCAGAAGACCGTGGGTTTAGTCCCAAGCTCCTTCGCGTTATATGATCGTTAGGACATCAATTCAGCTTATCGTTTACCAAAACGAACCCTGCTGCAAACCCAACCCTCTTATCCAACATCTCAGTGATTCCTCGTGGAAGTGCAGAGGTGTTCTCGGCTTCCATGTCAACACAATCCTTCCCATTCCTTTCTTGACCTGTGTTCGGGCGCGGCCGGCGCTGGTATTGCCTAATTTAAGATCACCAGTTTTTACACATTGAGGATGATTGCTAGTCCCAAGCATCGTCTATTGGTTCTTTGTGTAATTACAGCTGATCTGGCAGTAACAGAGTAGCAACCGTGGGCGGTCAATCAAGCTCAAGCTCAAGCTCAAGTAAACAGCTAATTGCCTGGACGAAAAAAAATTTTGGAATTTTGTGAAATATGAAGTAAAACAAATCCTAGCTAGTGTTTCGTCTCCGCCGAAAGTCAACTGATACGAACACGACCAACAAGCAGCGAAGAACGAGAGCATCAATAGGCTACAACATCCACCAATCAGCGACGACCACATCAACGCTCGCCGCTTTAAAAGAGGCATGCATCACCGTGCAAAACATACTCATTCTCTGCTTGATCGTCAAGCAGTTCAGTTCGGTGTTAGCTCGCTCTCTCGAGTAGTTTGAAAAGTTCGTGGCGATAGTGTTCGCGCTCTCTTTCGCGGTTTGTCGTGCGTGTGTGTGTGCCCCGAAATGGGAAAGCATCGGTCGCGAAGCCCGGCGAAGGTCCAGAACCCAGGTGAAGGAAGCTCCGGTGTGCCTACCTCGAACAGGTTTGCTGTTCTCCCCATGGATGGGAATATCCAGCCAGCTGTGTTGGAAAAACGCAGCAAGAAAAGAAAGAAGAATCGAGGCCAGTCCGATGTCACTGCGACGAACGCCAGCGACATCGGTGATTTCGGCGACGCCATCGGCAACGAAAATTCTGCCGGCCCGGGTGCGGCAAAAGTGAAGCTACCTCCATTGGTAGTGAAAAATGCCCATCTTAATGAGCTCATCGCAGATCTAGCGACGCTGGGCGTTAAACCCGAATACAAGTTGGGCAGAGTCGGCACCAAGGTGGTGCTCCGTACCAAAGCGGAGTATGACTTGGTCGTCGCCCACCTGAGGACTTCCAAGGTGGAATTCATCACCCACGACATTCCCGGTGAGAAGCCATTCAAGGTCGTCATTAGGGGCCTACCAAACTTCGACCCGAAGTTTATCGAAGCTGAAATCAGGGACCGGTACAAGCTGGCCCCAAGTGCCGTCTATCGGATGACAAGGAAGGACGAAAATGTGAAGGCGTATCCGGATAGCCTTTTCCTGGTACACTTCCAGAAGGGAACGGTGACGCTCAACGCGCTGAAGGCCATCCGCTCCATCAATTCCATCATCGTCCGCTGGGAGCCATACCGTGGCGGCCATCGTGATGTGACTCAGTGCCAACGGTGTCTGAACTTTGGACACGGCACCCGCAACTGCAACATTAAGCCACGCTGTGGCAATTGCGCTCAAGACCACGCCACTTCCGACTGCCCTGCGGAGGTTCCGACAGACAGTGCTCCAAACGCGAGGACTTCGAACGCATCCGAAAACAGGCGGCAACTAACAACCAACCAGGACGCAAGAAGGACAAAGTCCCGGCATTTCGGACGGAGGATTTCCCGCCCCTTCGTGCTCCTCAGCAAAGGCAAGTGAATTCACGGGTGCATTCCGCTCAAGCAACTTCCGGTGATTCTGCTGGCCAAAGCTCTCCATCCCCCCCTGGATTCTGGAGACAACCAACAGCGCAAAACAACAACCCCGATCTGTTCTCAGCGGATGAACTGATGGAAATCTTCGTCAACATGTCCGGTGCTCTTCGTAAGTGCCGCAATAAGCCCGAACAGATCCAAGTGCTCGGTAAGTTCATCATCCAGTATGGCGTCTAAACCGCTAAGTATCGTCACCTGGAATGCTTGCTCTGTAAGAGCAAAAGAGATTGAGCTTGCCAACTTCCTCCGCAAGCACAGCATCGACGTGGGCCTTCTAACCGAGACCCATCTAAAGTCCGGTGACAGCTTCTGGTTGCCTGACCACAACATTATCCGGCTTGATCGCACCAGCTCCAGGGGGGGTGGTGTAGCGGTCATCGTCAGAAAGGGAATCAAGTTCTTCACTCTGCCCCACGTCCGCACTTCTATCATCGAGGCCGTTAGTGTGGAGGTGGAGGTGGAATATTTACTCAAAATTACTAAAAAATAATACCATATATATTTTTCCAAGAAAGACTTAATTTTTCTAAACAACTTTGTCTCAAACGTCAATTCGATTAGAAGTGACATTTTCGTGCTACAATTTATTGAAAAAAGTCAAAGGCAGCATTTTGAAAAAAAAAAAATACAAGATCCAAAATGGCAAAAAATTTGCAAAAATGTGAATGATTGCCCATAACACACAATTAACGAAAGGTCCCGCAATTTGGATCACTAGTTGTACCGGGGGTACAACTAGTGATTTTCTTATTAGGTAAAACCGATAAGTTGAATCTGTCATCAAATAGCTTGCAATAACCTTCAAGTAATTGAATTGAATTGTATTTTATCGCTAGAAAACTGAAATGAAAATTTATAAACTTAATCCGAATGCAAATGATGATCTTAATAAAGCTACATTTTGCCTTAGTTAACCCTCGCAAACTCCAGTATCGTCGACTTGATAATCCGCAAGCACTCGTCCATTTGCTGCTCGTTGATCGTCAATGGAGGCGCAAACCGAATGATGTCACCATGCGTTGGCTTAGCAATCAATCCGTTCTCCTTCAGCCTCAGGCAAACCTCCCAGGCATCGTACTTGGAATTGATCACAATAGCATTCAGCAGACCCTTGCCCCGAACCACGGAAACCACATCCTTTGGCAGTTCCGAGAGCGATTCCCGCAGCTTGCGTCCCATGCGTTCGGCATTTTCCGCCAATTTTTCATCAACCAATACTTTCAGAGCAGCCATAGCCACTTTGCAACCGAGAGGGTTTCCACCATAGGTCGATCCGTGCTCACCGGGCTTGATGCAGAGCATCACTTCATCGTTTGCCAACACTGCCGACACCGGGTACATTCCACCGGAGAGGGCCTTCCCCAGGATCAGAATGTCCGGTTTGACTTCATCGTGATCAATGGCTAGCATGCGACCCGTCCGTGCAAGTCCCGTTTGCACTTCATCGGCGATGAAGAGAACGTTGTACTTTGTGCAAAGTTCGCGAACTTTTCTGAGATAGCCTTCATCCGGAACAACCACGCCGGCCTCACCCTGGATTGGTTCAACCATGAAAGCGCAAACGTTCGGATCTTGCAGGGCCTTCTCCAGCGCAGCAGTGTCATTGTAGGGGACAAGTTCGAATCCTGGCATGAATGGACCAAAGCCTTCGTAACTGGATGGATCGTTCGACGAGGAAATGGCTGCCAAAGTACGACCCCAGAAGTTTCCTTCGGCAAAGATGATCTTGGCCTTGTTATTGGGGACCTTCTTGACCGTGTAGGCCCACTTGCGGGCAAGTTTGCATGCTGTTTCCCCTCCTTCGACACCGGTGTTCATCGGAAGGACTTTGTCGTACCCGAACAGATGGGTGATGTACTCTTCGTACTCTCCGAGGACGTTCGAGTAGAAAGCTCTGCAAAATGATGAAATGGCTTTTGTGATTTAAGTTGATGAAAAAAAAACGCAAACAATTACCTTGAGGTCAGTGCCAACACCTGTGCCTGCTCGGTGAGGGCTTTCACGATCTTCGGATGGCAGTGACCCTGGTTCACCGCGGAGTATGCACTGAGAAAATCGTAGTACCGTTTGCCCTCGACGTCCCATACGTAGACTCCCTCGGCGCGTTCCAGCGCCACTGGAATCGGGTGATAGTTGTGCGCTCCGAACTTGTCCTCTCGGTCGAATACCTGCTGCGATGCCGGGCCAGGGCCATTCTGAAGCTCCTTGGTCTTCGGGGCGGTTACCGTGGAGGACATGTTGACTGGAAGAGAAGGAAGATTGGTTTAGTTTGCTTACTAGTTGTACCAGGTACTAGCAGGTATCCCTAATAGAAAACCATAAAAAAACGTTTAACGATGTGTTCGAGGAATCATCCAAACGATTGAAGGAATATCCTGTTCTACCTTTCGTTTTTTTAGTATTTGTTTAGTAGGGATTTGAATCGTTTGAATTCATCTTATCGCACATCTTATCTTATCCTATCCTTATTATAGAAATTAATAGCCTTGGGCTGGTTCGCGGAGAACAGTGGAAGTATTACAGGTTAATACAGGGCTACCTATCAATATGCCAAAATTTGGTTCAGAAAACAGCGCCAGTGTCGTTTATTCATGTTATTGTCAGTGTTCATTTTGGGGACAGGGTCGTTTATCGTAGTTCAGTCTGGGTCATTGCCCACAGTCGTTTTGTTGGTTTGTCTGGTTAAGCAATTCTAGGCCGGCAAGAAGGCGTCTGTCGAAAGTGTCATTGTGAATGGGTGGTTAGATTTGATCGTTTAAGTCTAGGAGAGCGATAGTCCTTATCTCCCAGAGCATCGCGGACAGTGTCTGGAGTGCCAGAATATACGTGTCCCATGGTACTGTATTCAGAAGTTAGTGAAATGCTCTCCGGTGTGTGGAACGTTACAGATCACGCACATCTTCAGAAACGGCCCGCCATTGGCCATTCTACGTTTATGTGTATAGTTCGAAGTTCTAACTCCGGTCGTCCCATCGCCGGGATGCCCTCTTCACACTTTGACTGAAATGGGGTCACGTTCGGAGCTAGTCCGATATCAGAGAGCGACGCAAGAAGTGTCGCGAAGGAAAGGGTTCGATGCAAGAAGCATAGACGTACAGGACCACACCTAATCCATTCGCACAATCCGATCATCTTGCGATCTGAAGTCATGTTCGTTCAAATTTGGTTGTTGGGAACCTCAACACAGATCGAAAGTGCATTGTGGAATTGTGATCCGCCATACAAACTTGACCCAACCTAATGTACATAATAGAATAATATAAGCTGCATTTGTTTAAATAAAATATATTGCTTGATGCAAATCCAAATATGTAAAATATTTCTCCATATATCTCTGAGATATAATGAGAAATTGGAGTCTATTTGATGTTCATTGTGAAAAATCACTGACATTTTGCGCTCTCTTGCGTATTTTTGGGAAAATTTATTCAGAAAATCATGTGTTTTTTCAAACTTAAGGTGATAAGGTAACTTAATTGACGGGGTTAGAAGGAAAAGGGGTGTAAGTGACTTTGATCGATTCTCTTCATCGGTTTTCTCTTTTGATATCCACAGCTTTATAAACAGATTATGCGCTATTTCGGCCACATAGTTTGTTAAAGGAGGTTCTCATCTAGCTTCCAGAATGGCACACGAATCAAGGAATGTGTTTGCAGCTGAATTATTAACGAAAGAATCAATGAGAGAGTCGATCAAAGTAACTTACACCCCTTTCCTTCTAACCCTCTCAATTATTATTTCAAAGTCACTTGGTCCAGTGATGCATTTGAACGCGATCAATTAAAGATGAGGGGGTTAGAAGAAAAGGTGGTGTTAGTGACTTTGATCGATTCTCTTCATTGATTCTTTCGTTAATAATTCAGCTGCAAACACATTCCTTGATTCGTGTGCCACTCTGGATGCTAGATGAGAACCTATTTTATCAAGCTATGTGGCAAAAATAGCGCAAAATCTGTTTATAAAGCTGTGGCTATAAAAAAGAGAAAGTCGATGAAGAGAATCGATCAAAGTCACATACACCTCTTTCCTTCTAACCCCCTCAGATCTGATCAAGAGATCTGAACTTGCGTTCAAATGAATGCCGTTCAGTTCATAAGAAAAAACTCGAGGAGGCTTTGCCTATGTGTTGCTATGATTCATTTCATTGTTATTTTGTGCTTTCCGATATCCACTCCTAACATAGATGTAACTCTAAGACTAGAAGGTCCCGAAGAAACGTGCTCAACTTGTTGGCTCAGCTCTGGTACTCTCTTCTGTCCCAAGCTAATCGATGCACCCCTCGAAACATAGGAAAATCCACGAACCCCTCATTTTATCTGTCAAACTTTCATAGCTAATCAAAACAAACATTGTGTTGTACTAGAATTTCGACTAGAATGGAGTACGTTAATCGATTTGCTTGTGCAAAGCAAATAGGCTAGTCAAGTAGTGAGCCAATTTAAAATCGCTAGTTTCCACCGGTTGCTCCTACTCTATGCACGAGTACACCTATGAATTTGAGTTCAAGCACTGACGAAAATTTGACAGGAGAGCGGTGCAATGTTCGCTAATATGAACATTTAGTGTTCATTTTTAGTAAACATTACCCCGCTCTTCTTTTGAATTTTCGTCAGTGCATGAACTCAAATTCATCGGTGCACTCGGCCATGGATGGAGCTGCTGTGGTCATTTTCTGGGGGGTGTGCTTGCTGATGATGTGTTCATTGATGGTACCTCCACTGCGTATGAATGCGCTGTTGTCAGGGAACTGGCACCCCTATCTCTACTAATAACAAGCCGGGACGGGACTTGACAATCGAGCTTCTCATTCTTCTTAATGTTTTTGAAGAATGCCCTTCCTGCATCGTAGATAGAGTCGCCCCCCTCGTTCAAAACCTAACACTCTTTCACCACACATATTTTTTGATTTGCACCCCAGTATAGTCGACAAAGACGTAGTTCTACGTCAAAAGTTGAGCTCGTTTCTTCGGGACCTTCTGGTCTTAGAGTTACTTCTATGTTCTGAGCGTCAATCTTTGGTGGAAGGTTGAACAAACAAACATACGTAGCGTATGGTGGCATTTGTCACGGTGTAAGAGGAGAGGAAAGGGGTTTAAAATTATAAGACAAACAATGCATTAGATACAGGAAATACGGTTTGCGCCATGATTGAATTCATAAATGGTAGCCCCATAAAATCTGAGTTCCAGAGCGTAAAATTATTGGCTGCTGAGTGTGAAAGTATCAGGGCTGAAAAAATCACTAAAATTCATCAAAGTTCACTATGGATGAAACATTCATTTCATAGTGAATGCTGGTGATTTTTTCAACCCTAGTGAAAGCATTGCACCACCGACAAACCGACATGAATGATCATACAAATTACAAAGAAATTTCTGATCAAAGCACAAAACTGACATCTGCCGCCGTGTTCGCGTAAAATACTTATACTAGTCATGAACACGCGTACAAAATGTATGAGTTGGTTCGTGTCTAATCTAGTTCGGTCAAATTATTTTTATCTAGATAAAATATTTCTATGGCTTTGACAGATGGGATCACTGCACATTTAAATCGGCCGTTATGGATTCTCGATCAGAAATTAAATTTAAGTTTCATGTCGGTTTGTCGGTGATTGCACTATTCAATCCATTGCTCTTTGCAGACCGTTTGTACCAAAGGGTAAAGGACGGGGCAATGAAAGAGCCAACAAAAACATTCAGTCACTCACGAACAGGTGACTTAAACCGCTTGCCTTCGTTCACACAGCCAGGCTTGCTAAAACTCCTCAAACTCATTGGAGGTTTTAAAATTCTCTTGTCCTGCGAGTTCAGCCAGCCCTCACCTTGAGTGATTGGCGGTAGGAATATAGAAGAAGTAAACAAAAACTCCTCGAAAGAGAGGGAGAGTGAACTTCAGCGAGAGGATGATTTGACGTGAGGTGCGCTTTTCGAGACTCCGGATGACTTTTTTGTTCGACGCAAGAAGCTCAGAGTTCACCCAGAGTGAGAGTAAGAGCGTGTCATAGAAACCATGAACATGAATGGCAGCAAACCTCACTCTGATTTTATTCCCATTCGCTCACAAGCTCTGAAGCTCAGCGGAATGATTTGGCAGTAGGCATTCTACTCCTCAGAAAAATGCTACGCTCGGCTCAATTCAAACTCGCGAGCGAGGCTCCATCAAGCCTGCACACAGCATGTAATTGAGGCATTTTTCCATAGAAAATGTACGCTCAGTTATTCAAAACCAGGCTTGATGGAGCCTTGCTGGCGAGTTTGAAATGAGCCGAGCGTAGCATTTTTCTGAGGAGTAGAATGCCTACTGTCAAATCATTCCATTGAGCTTCAGAGCTTGTGAGCGAAGGGGGATAAAATGAGAGTGAGATTTACTGCCATTCATGTTCATAAGACTGATGCAACATTTGACTTTTTCGCTCCACACTACTTAAATGGTTTCAAATCGGATCCTGATTAGCCTCCCAAAGTTACAACTCATTTGGTTGGAAACAGACTTCGCACAAGCCATTTGAAGTTTACATGTAAATTACTATGGGAAATCTCAACTTTTTGTTCATTGCCTTCCAGTCGTTTTCCATATTGAGCTGTGAAACAGTTCGATAGCCATTCCAGCTACAACTTTGCTAAAGATCGTTTCTATGTAAAACGAGACAGGAAAAAGTTATTAATTATTTAAGAGATTGGTAAACTTATGACATGATCAAGCAGCTGCTCTGTAAGCAACTCTGTATTTTGCAGTGTGACATAGTAGCCATGATTTTTGTGTCCTATTCAACGCCCCAGAAACACCAATGTTGCCTCTGCTGAGCAGTTGATTGAGCATGATCATATTGCGCATTGGCGCATCAGCGCATTGAACCATTGAAAACTTTCGATTCTTGTATTTAATCAAAAAGTGGTCTTCAGCAAAGTTGTAGCTGGGAAAATTTCCTACAAGTTCAGCTGAAAGTTTTTGAAGCAGACCGATATGGTGAATTATTAGATAGACATGAACAAAAATCTTGGTTTTACCATAGTAATTCCCATACAAACTTCAAATGGTTTGTGCCATCTCAATTTCTCACCAAATGGGGTCAAATTTTGAGAGGTTTGTCAGGATCCGATTTGGAATCGTTTAAGTATTGTGGAGCGAAAATTTCAAATTTTGCATCACTCTAATGTTCATGTTTTCTATCACACGCTCTTACTCTCTCTCTCTCTCTCTCTGGGTGAACTCTGAGCTTCTTGCGTCGAACAAAAAAGT